CAGGCTCTTCAGGTCCGTGGCCTAAAAGCTTGTAAAGGCAGCAGAGCCAGAGTCTAAACACATATAGGCCTGATTTCAAAGTCCTGCTCCTTCCATCGGTAAGGATCGCCATCCAGGGGAGGGCAGCTGGGGACTTAGATCCTGCTGGCCTGCAGAAGAATGCTTTGATCACAGGGTGGTTTCAAAAATAGAATCGAAGGCTGGGTGCGGTGGCTCATACCTGTAATCCCAGCATTTGAGGAGGCTGAGGTGGGTGGATCTCCTGAGGTCAGGAGTTCAAGACCAGCCTGGCCAACATTGTGAAACCTCATCTCCACCAAAAATATAAAAAATTAGCCAGTTGTGGTGGTGCATGCCTGTAGTCCCAGCCATTGCGGAGGCTGAGGCAGGAGAATCGCTTGAACCAGGGAGGTGGAGATTGCAGTGAGCCGAGCTCCTGCCGCTGCACTCCAGCCTCGGCGACAGAGTGAGACTGTATCAAAAAAAAAAAAAAAAAAAAAGCGAAATACCCATTTTCTTCCATTCCTCCCACACCTACTGGCCAATCAAGGTGTGTGGTTCGTGTGGGGAAGGTCCCAGCTTCTGCAGGTGAGCTCAGGCACAGGCCTTACCTGCACTGGTGCACCTGGCCCTTCTGGTCGCTTAGGATGAAGTAGTGGCCATTCCAGGCCCGTCGGTCCTTGTCCAGAGTGACGTGGGCGATGGTGGTGTTGTACTGGACACGGAGCCCCAGTGTGTCCGCGAAGTCACCCAGGTAGCGCACCATGTCGCGGGCGTCGGGGAAGTAGGCACGTGAGTAGTGTCTGAAGAGCAGCCGGGGGTCGTGGCTGAGCAGAGAGTTCCAGTCGTGGCGGAGGTTGAACTCGGCGTTAGCCTTGCCAGTGTACCGCTTGTTGATGCTGATGAGCTTGCGGTGCCGCGGGTAGCGCGTGAAGAAGCTGCCGGGCCGCGGGGCGCGCTCGAACACTTCATAGTCGCGTCCAGCGCGCTGCAGGAAGTAGGCCATCTGCAGGCCCG